GGGGGGGGGGGGGGGGGGTGGTAAACAAGAGTAGCATTCCTAGAATGTAGAAGTCCGGTTGATGCTCCCCATGCCGTTGGGAGTCTCATGGTACTACATATGGACGTGGCAGACCAAAGGATAATGTAGGGGCCTAAATAATTACCAACAATACTATTTCGGGGGTTTCTTATTGCAAGTATAGTATGATGGGCCTCAAAGCCCTATTGTAATTATTAAGGCCCCTATGCTAGCTTCCTGTAGGATAATTACAACTCGAACTTCCATGCAACGAGCTCCGGTCCCCAAGCACGACGGTTGACGTTTAGGGTTTAGGGTTTAGGGTTTAGGGTTTAGGGTTTGGGGTTTAGGGTTTGGGGTTTAGGCTTTAGGGTTTAGGGTTTAGGGTTTAGGGTTAGGGTTTAGGGACCCGAAACGCGGTCTCGTCCAAGGACAACATTCCGAGCAGATGACGTAGTGGAGATCACGGGCCTCCAGGCCGAAACCCTCAGTTGGACCAGGGTTTAGGGTTCAGGGTTTAGGGTTTAGGGTTTAGGGTTTAGGGTTTAGGGACGTTGAACTCAAAAATGGGATTATAAAGCGGACCCGAAAGGACCTGAATTTCGAGAACTGCCCATATTTACTGGAGGATTCACTCAGGTCCTTATATTAGGGTTTGAAGTTCCGTGGGCTGTTTCAGGTTGCCGGATTCCAAATAAAGGACTTCGGTCACAGAGCCAGGGCATGAGGGTCTAACTAAGCTTTATGGTTTTGGGCGCAGGGATTGAGAGTTCGGGGCTTCGGCATAACTGCCACAACGATAACCCGAAGCCCAAAGACACATTGTTAAACAAATAAGCTGCTTGAACCCGAAAGCAATCAACACGAAACTGGTGCAGGTGCGGCAAGAGCTCAATGGGCTTCGTGCGACCATCATCGACACTTGACTGGAGAGTTTACGGCTGGTGGTTCAGGGCCATTCAGGACTCTACTGTTGATGATACAAATCCTGCATTAACTTAAGGACCCTAAGCAATGGGAAATTTTGCATATTTCTTATTACGGGTGCTACAGGATGTTTATCATCAACCGAAAGTTGAGCCCCACGGCACTTAAGCAGCAAGTATGGTCGCGGCTATGAACGCTAACCCTAACCCCTGAGCTTCAGCCCTAGCCAGTGGCAAGCCATCTGCCGAAGCCCGCTGATTCTCCAATATTGTATGAGACGGAACTTTCGGGGCCGGGTTTAGGGCTGAGGGCATGCAGTCATGATAATTCCGGATTCCGGATAGTTTTCCTCGGGGAGCCTTCATATGATTACGATTTACTATGCCCCAAAGCCCTATCGTTTGATTTCTTGATTTCCCAGTCCACGCCCAGTTGTTGTTGGTTTCCTGGTCTTCGACATGTAATTCCATCTTACCAAGTCTTGATGCCACTAATGTAGCGACCTTAATAATTAGAACAGGATTTTGGGGGTTCCTTCGTATACTTATAGTATAAAGATACCACCCCAAAGCCTATTCGAGCGAATAATCCCCCCCATGTTGTTTCAAGTCTTAGCTGGTTGCTTCGCCCCTAAACCCTAAACCCTAAACCCTAAACCCTAAACCCTAAACCCTAAACCCTAAACCCTAAAGCTTGGCTGAACGTTCCTGAGATGCTCAAGTTATCTGTCGCTTTGCTCGGCAAAGGCTTCTGTCCACGCACACAGACACACACACACACACACACACCACAGTCCCCAAAGCTTTATTTAGGGTTTAGGGTTTAGGGTTTAGGGTTTAGGGTTTAGGGTTTAGGGTTTAGGGTTTATATTTATTCTTACTATTAATAAGGAACCGTGGTCTAACTCTGAAGAACCAGTCGACCCTATACTGACCCTATACGGGTCCTAACACCAAATCGTGACATTAACTAAATACTCTCCGTCATATCAAGCTTCAACCCTACTCTCCGAAACCCAAATACCTAGTTACTAAGATACTGGAAAGCCAATGAGTCATCTTTAAACATTTTTGGGCCTTATATACCTGGTCTACCTTACAAAGTTTGGACTCTTTTTCGGCCCGGTCCTCGAACAAGAGAGAGTTATTTAGGTCCTTCGGCCCTAAACCCTAAACCCTAAAACCCAAAACCCTAATTCTTAAACCCTAAAACCCGAAAACCCTTAACCCTAACCAAAGCCCTAAAACCCCTAAAACCCTAAACCCCTAAACCCCAAACCCGTAAACCCTAAACCTCTAAACCCTAAACCCCAAGACACTAAACCCCAAAACCCCAAAACCCTAAAACCCTAAACCCCAAAACCCCAAAACGCTAAAACCCTAAACCCCTAAAGCCCGAATCTTTTTTTTGGTACATCGCTTCCCTGGCTTTAGCTGACCGGGCCCCTGCTCGAGCTAAAGCCGAAGCCCCAAACCTTAGGGTTCAGTGTTTAGGGTTTAGGGTTTAGGATTCAGGGTTTAGGGTTTAGGGTTTCGGATTCAGGGTTTCGGGTTTATGATTAAAAGGGTTTAGGGTTTAGGATTTGGTGTAGGGTTTGGAGTGTATAGGGGTTTGGTTCACGAAAGCTCCCAATCCTTTGAAACCCTGCACCCAAACTCCAAGCTACACCGTGGAAGCCCGGAGCCTGCATATCCCAGATCCTAGAGTTTAGGGTTGAGAGTTTAGGATTTTTAGGGTTTTTAGGGTTTTAGGGTTTTAGGGTTTTAGGGTTCTAAACCCTAAATCCCCAGATCCTAGAGTTTAGGGTTTGATGGTTTCAGGGTTTAGGGTTAAGGGGTTCAGGGGTTGAGGATTTGGGGTTGAGGGTT